TGATTCCTCCCTGCTGAGCTGACCCATTCTATGACACAATTTAAGTGGATTTTTTTCCTGTTTATGCTCTCTTATTTTGTTCTACTACACTTCAAAGCTGTGTTCTATAATTTCAGACAGCTCTAGCAACTTTCATCTTCTGGACGTTGTATGCTTTACTTAATTAAGTGATGTTATATTTATGTAAAGGTTTTAAGATCTGAAGTCTGGACATAAAGGATTATGTTAAATGACAGAGCTGAGCTGATCTGAGGTGCCATATGATGTGGTTATTCTTAATTTGGTCTCCGTTAAACAATGATCTGCCCCAATCACCACATGGACATGAATTTTTCCTAATTCTATTCACATGCAAGAAATTAGTACTTTCCTGTTATGAAATTTTAAATAAATTTTACTGATCTGTTTGTAATGTGAATATATACAAGATATACTCTCAATATATAATACATTATATATTCATATATATGAACATATACTATGAATATATAAAAGAATGCAAACATCATAGAGAAAGAAAAAAATCTATTTAAAAGTATTTAACTTATTTCAAACAGAAGTAGGAGCATGCTCATTAGAGGAAGATATATATTCAGTACTAAATGACTTAATTAACAAATGCTGTGTGATAACTAGAAACACCTTGTGGGGAATTCTTATCATTTGTTCATCTCTTTACAGCATAACCATTATTGACAGTCTTTTTTTTTTTTGATATTAGAAGACTAGTGCTTCATTTTAGCATAAGTTTCAGAAACTGAATCTGAAGTGTACATTCAGACTGATCTGACACACAGCAAATGTGAGCAGTGAGGGCAAAGTAAGACTAACACCTACCATTTTCCGCCTTATCAGAGAGTTGTGCAGTCTCTATTTGCATGTTACTACTGAAATGGTTCCTCTGACACCTGGCCCTAAAATGTTAACCTTGAGGGTAATGTGTATGTTAAATGAGCTTGTGAGCTTACTCAAAAGATAGATAGTTTTCAGAATCTCTCTTAGTAGCTTGAAAGATCAGTTTAAAGCAATAGAAATTGCTAACGCTACCTGAAAATAGAAAGTCTTGTCCAATCGGATATTAAAATCTTTAGACACACTTTTTATCCTTAATTTCGCTGAAATGTAAGAAAAATGCTGAATTAGGAAAAATAGTGATTAGAAACCATTGAAATATTGCTACACATGTAGTTGCAACATACACATGAAGACTATATTCCAATATTAAGGAGATTTATTTTCACTTGTCAGAATTCATCAGAACTGCGCATTCATCTGGCTTTGATGTGGAACCGAATGTCTCGCTCTTGCCTCATACGACTCGTGGATCAAGTGGCTCACTGTGTGAGGTAGGCTCCTCATCTAAACTGCCTGTAAGTCTTTACTGAATAAAACTACTCACACTGGGTGTAAAATGCAGCACAAAAGCTTGACATAAACTCATTTCCCTAACTGAGAACTCTCTTTATCATCTGAACAGAGGGATGCCTAATTCCTGGATTCTGATCGTGCTTACGTATGGCAAAGTTACCTACCTTCTCAAACTTATCAAGGTCAGCACGTTTAGGATATTCAGACATATTTGATGCCTTGGGAATTTGAAGTACATTAAAAAAAAAAGTTCATTGTTTAGATTGATGTAGAGGCTGGTGGTTTTTTAAGGATCAGTTTAGGGCATGTTGTAGTTTTGAGCACACTGAAATTCCAGTGTATGCATCTAGTTCTGCCTGCATATGATCCTAAATTCCTTATATGGGCCAGACTTTAATTTGGTCACCAAATAATTACTTGCCTAACCCTGTAAGGCTGACCAATTCCAGAATAAAGGCTTTAGAATCTTGAACCGCAGAAGTAATTTGGAGGCATAATTTATTCTCTCTTTCTCTTCATTATTTCAGCCTTCGGATGGGGCCAGTAATAACTGCCAGTGGCAGAGGGTTATTGGAAAGATTAGTTAATATTCATACAATGTTTGGAATGTATAATAAATTGATTTGCCAGGCTTTGTTTAGGCAGCAGATGGAATGATCAGGCACATTCATTTAAGCTGCCCTACTGGAGACTGCTAAGTATAACATTTTATATGTTGACATTTATGTAGGGGGAAAAAAACTACATTTGTGGAAGAAATGGAACTGCCTTTTCTGATGGAAAGCTATTCATTCAGCTCTTGAAATGGAAAATAATAGATGACAGAAGGATGGTTAGACTGGGGAAACAATTGTCAGGCAGTGATGGAAGGTGAATGGAAGCTAAAAACAATCAGCTTAAAAGTATACATTAGGTGGTCGAGTCAGTCCAGCATCTATGCATGCAGAAACCGGTGCAGGGCCTGGGAGAGGCTGCTGGCCACTGCTCTGGTTGAATGACTTACTCTCTGGTGGGGCTGCAGAGAGATCAGCTGAGACCAAGGCGGGACAGAGGCTCATTTTGTAACAAGGTTATTGGAAATGCTAAGTCAAATTCAGCAAGATTATATGTCTGTGTGTCTGTATATATAATAAGACAGAAAAATTTTCTGTCTGTATATAGTGAAAGGCAAATGACTAATGATTTAGGATTCTTTTCACACTACAGTAAAAATTAATTAAAGACATGCTGCCTTTAGGCAATTCTATGCTTACTATGATAAATATGGAAATGTGCTGCATTTTGCAGAATAAAAACCATTGTCTTTACAACACATAGAAATGAATTGTAACCACATCAAGTTTTATGTAAACACTCTGAAATCCAATTGGTAAGGGTTCAGCTGAATGTGTCTCTATGATTAAAGAAAAGCAGTACTGGTGGTAGTATGGTCAACAGCAATTAGGTTTTCTCACTTAAGAAAGAAGTGAAAAGAAAAGATTTTTGTCATCCCTAGACATGAGGGCAAGGGCAGGAGGAATCAGTGAATACTTTCCATAGCTAAATATATTGCAATTGTGATGAATGTGTGGGGAGGTATTTTTGGTTTTGTTTTTGGACTTAATGTGTCAGATGAGAGTTTTGAAACTATTATTACAGATAGACCCCCCCCAATCCCTTGCCCTTGCCTTCAGTTCTTACAAAATGAAGCTACCAGAATAATTTCCTTTTCTATTGACACAGAGACATAATTCCTCTTTTCATATCCCTTCCATATCTCTCTCGCTGTTATTGTATTAAATGAAACCTCTTGTTACTTGTTTTAGACTTCAGCATAACTTTGAACATAAGTTTAGCATTCCTTTCTTCCTTTTCTTTCTCCTTCTTCCCTTCCTGTCATTGCCTGGGTGTCAGGAGTATTCCTGGTCTTCCAGGCTGCTGGTGAGCTTCCTGTAGAGCAGTCGGCATGCATTCTCTCTCCTAGGACCTGCTTGACAAACTCCCGCAGTCCACCCATAAAGGTCTTGTCTTGTCCGCCTTTAACTGTCCTCTCAGATCAACCTCTGCCATGCTGCCAAAAGCAACTAGTTCAAAAAGTGCTTTTTATCTACTTTCTGCTCATTCACCTGTCCTTCAGGCTGATAAGCCTGCTGTAGCTTGTAACAGTGATAAGTAAACCAAGGTTAAAAAAAAGACATCTATAGAAAATCCTCTTCATTAAGAATCTGAGTATGCCCCAGCTATTCTTATTGAAAAATGCTTTAATACTGTTACTGATTACCGTGGAGTCACTGTGGAGTGACTCTGTGCGAGCGTGTGTGTGTAGGTCTGTGTATGGCACATTCACAGGAGAATTTAATTGGCTAGATGAGAAGAGAAATATTCTCCGGAACATTTCTCATTCCCTTAGGAATCTAAAAAGGAGTGTAGCTGCCTGCCAGAGTGAAAACAGAATTGTCTGAGGAGTCTGAAGTTTCAGCAGTGGGTAGGGAACTGCCTCCGTGCCCTGCTGCAGCCGTGCCTACGTTTTCTGTTTTCAGTGAATTATGCTTATGTCCTTGTTGACTGATCTATCAAAAGAGACTTGTAAGACCGTGCGACATTATAAAGGCAGTATAACTCCACTAGCATCAGTGGATCACCAGCTGAAGGGGCGGTCCAATCTGGCCACTTAAGAAATAAGAAAAAACGTAGTTAATACATGGAGAGAAAGATATACTCAGTTCAGACAAATAAATCAAAACATAAAGATCACTTTTGGCATGAAAGAAAGTTCTCCTATAATATTGGTAAAGATGATACAGAGCTAAAAATTCTAGAAAACTGACAGATGACTTTTAGCACCTCCAGGGATGAATGTTTTGATGTAGGCGTAATGTGCTAATGAATTAGCCTTTCAAATTCAAATGGAGTAAATCTGCCTCCTTCAAGTCCTACCACATGGAAAGACCTAAAAACTTATGTTCAGACCTAAAAACTATCACATGCTTTAGCAGACTGTGACATGACTGGAAATTTCCACTTGGTCAAAGCAAAACTTTAATAGCAAGTAGATTTTTGGTATGGTCTTCAGAAGTGGCAGTAAGGAGATACTTGCAGTAAGGAGTCTTGCATAGTTGAGGGCCACATTTTACCTATGTTTCAATCAGACTTGTTGACCTTGGACAGAAAAAGGAAACGAGCTAGAAAGAGATGAGAACGTGAGGCAAACTTGCCAACCTTGCAAAAAGCGCACTGAACTAGTTTGTAGGAGGCCTACGGCCAAAGCTATGGGATTGTGTGTGTGCTCTTGGATGCAGTCATCGCTGCCCTGCAGATGTCCCCTCTCCTCTCAGACTGGAACCAGGTCTGTCCTTGAAATCCTACCATAAAGGTTACACAGCAACTATGGTCCAATGGATGAGGATCTTAAATCAGCTTAATTCTGAAAATAGAAATATTTAAATCAAAATTAGGAAAGATTTTCTAACTATAAGCGAAGAATAGTGCTGGAAAACTACTTAGGGTTGTTGCGGATCTTTTTAACTGGGATCACTCTGGGATTACTTGAGCCAGCATCCTTTATCTCAAATTACTGCATGGAGCTGGATCAAACCAGCAGCTCTTGGACTATAGCTTCACAGTAAGTTTTTCTGTGCCTGCTCGGCGGTTTGCAGCCTCTTCAGTTTTGCCTCTGCCCTGTTCTGCGGGACCCTGATGTAAACCAGATCACCAAAATGATGTAGGTTAAAGAAAAAAAATCGCTATTAAAAAGGCAAGGGAAGTGAGAAGTGTTATTGGCTCTAAGTGTTTACACTGGCTAGGGAACTGTGAGTTGTCTTAAATGGTCAGCAGCAGCTCAGCCTCTTCAAGGCAGGGGAATGAGTGAGTGTTTGCACTTACAGGCGGTAATTACAGCTGCTGCTCATCCTCCACTCTGGAGAAATTAAGCTGCTCCCGATTTAAGCTGCAGTTTTGTGGTATAAAGTGTTAGGTCTCAATTCCCGTTGACTTTATTTTCTTTCCAGCCCTTCCCTCCCTGCAGCACGCCCCTTCCCCACCTTGTTGCTGTGTCAGCACAGCTCTTTGTTCATCTGCTCTGTGAATTGAGACTTGGGGAACTAATCTGACTTTTAAAAAAAAGCATAACAAAAACCAATTACTTCTATGCTTAAAAAAAATTCACAATGCAAGGAAGAGGGCTGAGTGTTCAAGATGAAATGGTCATAGCATCCTTTTGTAGACTCTGAACTTGGGTTTATTATGCGCACCTAACAGATGGCCTTCTTCTGCATGCCTCAGAGATACTGTAGTCAGAGAACAAGTGGTGTAAAAAAGCATGGCTATCTATCAATACCATACTTTCTGCTAGGCTTACTGTCACTAAACATTAATAAAATCTTATTTTTACTCAGCTTTAAACCTCCAACATCAGCATTGCTATGCCATAACTAAGTACAAATCTTATTAGGAAAAAAGCATTACCTTTTATATTTTCCCTTAAAGAAGAACTATTTCCCCGTTGTGTTCATCACTAAGGGAACGCTATTATTTCAGTAAACAATTTATAAACATTAAAAGAAAATAAGTGAGGTTTATGGGATTTGAACATACTTTTCATTATTTGTTAACAGGATTTGCCTCCTGCATGCTACTTCAAACATCCCCCTTGAATATTTTTTCCTTCAGTTTGTGTTTTGAAAGAAGATGTGAAAAAAAAATCTGTCTTACCTGAAGAGAGCTTTCTCAAAAAGTCGGCAAGAAGACCTCATGTCAGTTACAGGATTAAGCAGCTGTACAAACATTGTACAATATGCTGAAAAGCATCTTCACCAAATGCTTTCTAGTTAGACTATTATTTCTGTCAGGAATATTTCAGTTACAAACTTTAAAAAATTGAATCTAATTAAGAGGCATGCTAAGAAGAAACTGGCTATAACTTAATTTCTCTTTGACTGGCTTCATCATGTGTTCAGCATCAAATTATTCCCTATGTGGTGTTTACTGGTGCCAGTATATGGATGCTTATGGGCTGAAAGGTTAAATACCATTCATTGTGCAATTTCAGACACATGCACAATTTGCAACTGTCTTTATATTTAAATAATTTTTTTACAATGAAATATTTATCTTTTCACAGACAGGAAAAATATTTTTAGATTTTATTGAGGGATTAACAATTCACTTCTGAAATGTGTGATCCTTACGCATCAACTCATATTTTACCACTTTATTGCTCTTCAGTATTTTACTCTTGATGGAGATGGGTTAGGAGAAGTCAATAATAATTTGATATGATAAATTTCATGCAAGAAGTTTTATATAACAATGATCTTACCAGAAAATCTCCTAGTTAGGGTTTAGTATGTTGTGTCCTGTGGGAACTATTCGGGATCTCTTTAGGATGCACAGGAACATCTCTGTAGAAGGAAAGATGACAAATTCACTGACCTCGGTATAAATGCTGTAAAGATGAAGGCTTGAAAATCATGATAAAAAGGAATGTTTGCTGAGAAAGAACAGGAAGGAATAGAAAGTTTCACTTATCTGAGAAGATGAAATTCAGTGGATGATAAAATCTGAACATTATGAAGACTGTAAAATCACTGGGGATGTGGGGGTATGCAGTATATTTTAGTAGCTGCCAAAGCTGTGATACAGCTAGATCAATGTATAAACTGAATTGAAACAATGCCTTGTCAAGATTTCACCATCAAGCAAAAATGTGGCAGCAAATGAGGTAAAGTGAAGCGGATTAGAAGGTTTTGACAGTTTCTGAGTCAGTTGGTGGCAGGTACCAGCATGGAGGTTTGCACAGAGTCTAGCCAGGCATTTATATCAGCAACCACTTTGTAGAGATTATTCTTACTTTTTTGCTCGTATTATAAGTTCACAGAGAGGAGTGCACTTTCAGCCAATAAGCAAAGAATATATCAAAAGAAAATTAATAGAAGACTGCTGCATGGTTTGGCAAGATGATTACAAACTGGATTTCTTGCCTGTAATTTTTCAGATGCTGAAAAAAATATCTCGGCTAGAATGATTACAGTCAAGAGAAACCAATTAAACAGATTTGTGTGCCTTGGAATGTCTCAGATGTATTAATCTCTATGTAAATACTATTTTCAAGCAGTCAGAAAAAGCCCCCTTGCAGCCATTCTTCCCTGAAAAATTGTAAATAAAATGTAGAAGCTATTGCAGAATTCATTTATCTGAGGGATTTTTCAGCTTTCAGACACAATCAATACTTTAAGAAAGGTAGTTTCTATGAAACTGTAAAATTAAGTGATAACCGAACTTTAGACCCTGCAGGTGACTCCTGAGCCTTCTGTGTGATGTGTTCTCTGTGGCTGTGGTGTTTTGAAAACAAAACAAGGAAATTACACATTCAAAACCTGCAGTATTAAAGTTGCAAAGCCAAGCACTCAGAAGGTAAGAAATGCCTGTGAAGGTTTTCAGTTGAATCTTATTTTGTTCCTATATGAGAGTATGTATTATTAGATGATTTTTGATAACATCTTCAAATATTCTTTCCTTCCTGTTCGTGCACGAGCTACCACTGCAGGCATGTCTGCGCTGGCTCTCTGCCCTCCAGGCTCTGATCCTCATTCTGCATCCAGGTCCTGCCTTATTGCTCATGCTTGGTTTTGTCCGTGTTGTATTACCTATATGCTAAGTGAAGTCTTTCTGTGACGCACGGTCCTTCCAGGCTGCTTCCTGTTTCACGCAGTAGTGAAGAGGATGTAAGGAAGGGCTGGAGATCAGGATTTCTATGGGCAGGGGCAATGCTGCTGACTGCATCACTGTACCCAGCAAAGCCCAGGGAAGTGCCAAAGGGGCCGAATTTGGGTATGAGAGGGATTTGAACGTTTTTATTCCTGCAAGTACAGCATGACTGCAGTCGGGCAGGCCAGGCTGGATGGCCGCCAGGGCTGGAGCTAAAGAATTTGGGTTGTTCAGTCTTCCCAACTCTGCAGGCGACATCATTTTCTGTTATATTGATGCATGACCAACAAATAAGTTCATTTTTTTAGAGTACTTTTTATACTGCAATCTGGTTTGTAAGATACAGCTAGATCAATGTATAATTTGTAAGATATAGCTCTTCTCCAGTATTTTCCTTTAAAGCAGCATATTCAGTTCATGAATTCAATGAATTAAGTTCTCGTGTTGCTGTAAAACATAAATCATACTAATATAAACTCTGAAGAGTAATTATCTAGTATTTGACATAGGCACAAGGAATTAGGAAGTTAAAACTGAGGCTGTCGAGTTGAATGAACTATTCCTACAGAATGTTTCTTTTTCAGTATTTCTGACTTGTTGGTCAGAGAAGATTGTGGTCCTTGACCCTGCTTGATACAAAGAAAGCACAGGATAACTTTAAGGTTGACCCTAGCTATCAGTTTAGGTATAACCTATATGTTCAAAAAGGTGAATAATCTACTCTGTGGATTCCTCAGACCTCAGAATCTAAATGTAACCAAACTTCAGTGGAAAGAAAGGGGTGAAAAATTGTCAGATCCCTAAAAAGCTATTGATTTGAGCTCAATAATCTGCAAGGCTTTGTTAAATTTACTGAAGGAAAGATAACTGAAAGTAGTTGAAGACAGTGGAAGATAAGGAAGCATCCAGCTCAGGAAATGGGATAAAAAGAAACAGGTATTTTCCAAAAGCTCAGTGCCTGGTTAACCTGTTGTCTTTGTTTGAATAACAAATGCATTTGGAGAAGGAAATCTGTACCAGTTAAACTAGTGAAGATAGAGATTAGTGCAAGAGTTTTAAGGAGGCGAGGAACCAGCTAAAGCTGAGATGATAATGGATTTTGTTATAAGGAGAAATATTATTAATGAAATTCCTCTAGGATCAGTCTTGCAACTGATTGCATGTAAAATTTTCATTAGTAATCTTGGCACAAAGTTGAACTTGAACACAGGGAAAGTTCTCAAATGACTCCTCTGCAAGGCATGAGTGAGATTTTCCCTGGGATAGCTGTAGGTGCCTAGACCAGAAGGTTAGGGAAGACAGTGGAGAGAAAAAGACTTCTCCAGAGGGAGAATCACAGCATGTAGGTTAGCTTCCTGATCTGAATTGCTGTCTAGGGGAGTCTAGCTCCCTATTTTAACTACACAGAGGGAGTCAAAACAGGGTGGGACATCTAGCTTCCTGCTTTAGTGTATGTTGGCCCTGCTTGCCATACACGGGTGAACCCTAGGGTCAGGCCTGTTCTAGCTCTTGTCTACAGTGCTAAAACAGGGCTTGAACACTGGCCGCAAAATCTGCCAGCTCTTCCGTAGTGATTCTATGTGAGTCCATTGATAATTTAAATGCACATGAATGTACTAGCATAAAGCCAGTGTAATTCAAATACTCTATTTCTTAGGTCTTGAAAGGTTGCTTTTGCAGTAAGGTTCCTATTGTTGCTGCAGAACAGATTTGTAGGACAATACCTAATTCTCAGTCTCACCAGTGCTCACCTACCACTTCACAGCGTGCCATATATCTGCTTGACCCTTTCCTTCACAAATTAACCTAATTAAAAGAAGAAAAATTGCTCTCAACTTTGCATTTAGCTTCAAGCTTGATGTTCCTGTTTCAGAACTTGCCTTGCTTAAAAAAGTGTTAAAAAACTAGCTAAAACTTAATAGCAACACACCTGCTCACAGCAGTATAGAAGACATTGAGAATTAACAAAAACTAGTCATCATTTTTTGTCTGTTATTTTATTTCTTTTTGCTCGCCTCTCTAGCTCCTGGGTACTTGTTGCTATCCCCTAAACCATAGCTTGTTGCCTCCTGGCTTAGGTGGATAGGTTTTTGCTTTTTTTGATAGGGAGGGAGAATTATTTGGTTTTGGTTTCTTTCCAGCTGGGTCATTTCAGTGACTCGGTTTACACTATGTGCTCACAATAAGACGGGATAGTATAAATGGATGGCTGCAAATTGCAACATAGTTAGGAAAGGAGATGAGATGCCCCAATTTTCTAAACTGGCTTTTTCACCAAGTTTAACACAAGTCTGACCACTTGTTTTCAAAAACAAAAATTGAAATGGGTAGAGAAGAATATCTGAATCAATAGAGAATACCTGTCTTACAATAGGAGACTAAAACAGGTTCACAGTTATTTTATCTGGACAAAACCATTTACTAGTTTAGCTCATCTGATGTGAATCAGATAACAAAAGAACTTGCACCTTCATTTTACTGCTTAATTCTGAACTTTGACCCTGATCCTACAAGAATTGTTATGAACTCAATTGAAATAAAATGCAAGCAGCTATAATGATTTCAGTAGTACTAACTTAGCATAGTGTGAAGTACACATGGATTACAAAGAAATGAGCCATCACCACCTATATTCAAATATGACCTCAGAAGACTGTATGCTGTTAGCTGATGGAGGATTTTTTGGCTACTCAGTTTACAGAATACATTTCAAGCAGCTGTCACATACTTAGGCTCTTGAGCTAGTCTCAGTCTATGCAAAAAGTAGCAATTTGGCAGGAACTACAAATTAGAAGCAGTCATTGATTTGCTGTGTGGAATAAGAACGGCAGAGTACTTTCAGGGTTAACCCGGAAATACCAGAGGATAATTTAAGAAAGACTTAAAAAATATATTTAAGCAAGAGACTACTACAAAACAATAGATACTGAATTAGGGAATGCATAGATAAATTATGCATTCAACACAAAAGATCTCGCATCATATAGGAATGTCTGGTCTCTTACAACATGATGAAGAAAGGGAGACATCAGAAAATGGAACAGTCAGAACAATCTGTATCTTCAAATCTAGTTTGGTTTTGGTACAGCCCTGCCCTAATTATTTAAAACAAGCCTAGAAGGAGAATGTCTGTCAGTCGCTATTTACACAGCCTTTAAGCTTCCTGTAGAGACAGTGAACAGTGGTGGCATGGTCTTCTGTAACTTAGATTCTTGTTTTAGGAGTAGGTACATAATCACTAAATTAATTTTGAAGAAAGCTTTCATAAAGCTAGCCCCAAAACACTTGAGAAGCCTGGAAAAGACTGATTCTTAAGGTAAAAGTGTCCAAAATCCATCATCAAGCTGCTGCCAATTAGTTACCGTTAGTACATGCTTAGGCATATGCCCTTCTGAATTTGCAGCTGTCACTGATGCTTCAGAGGTTTTGGGAAGTAGACTGCATAACAGTTATTGCTGTGGTCATTAACTTCTGAGTTTGGAAAATCTTTTGCATTATGATTGAGAACTCTCTTCTAGGCGACAGCTAGAGGTAGTAAAAGAAAGATGGAATCTCTAGGGGGATAGGACACATGAATAATAGTATGACAAATTGTGATGACAAAGTTGGGCTTAGGATTTGTAGTGTGATGTGCTGAAATAAAATCCATTTCCATACGGTGCATGCAGGACTATTGCTGTTTGCAGTAGCTATCTTTGTGAAGCATAATACTCTTTCTCTGCATCTAGAAATACGCTCTTTTCCTGCAGCAGCATGTTTATATATATATATATTTTTTTTCTAATAGCCTAATCTAATTCTGAGAAATAAACATAGCTTGCTAGGGCATTTGTATGGGTCTAATCAAGCTTTAATGAGCTCTCCAATAGGAGCTGGATCAGGTCCTTACTGTACTTGTGGAACACTGCTGACATCAGAACTTCCCTTACATGATGATATTTCCAAATATATTATTTTGTGTTATCATATTCTTTTTGAGACAAAATGTTTATAGCTAAAATAAAATCATTGCAATTCTGCCACAAAAGAGTAAAAGGAAGAAAGAATAACTCATCCAGGAATCACCCTTTGTGGAAAGTACTGGTTACCATTGCAGAGAGAAAAAGCTATTAACCTTAAAATAGCCAGCAGAAAGTACAGGCTATGCTTGTTAACAGTTGTGATCCTGCCTTATGCTTATGAATAGCAAATAAATCTCCCTGTTTTCTTTGCAAGTGCTAAAATATTTGTAAGTCAGACAGCCTACATTTTTAGGCCTCAGTGAGTGGCGGGGTCTGGAAATGTGGAAAGGGGAACACATACTGTTCACCAGCTGGACTTGCCACTTAAGGACTCAGTTTTGCTCCACCCTCCAGATGGAGCCCAAAGTAGGTGGAAAAGGGAATCCTCACAATGGAGGCAAAATGCCATTCTTTCTCACTGTAAGATGCCAAAGCACAAACGTACCATGTCACCAATCACCCTGCATGTGGCTTTTTTTTTTTTTAATCAGAGTCTGTAGTATGCGTTAAATTTACTTAGCCTCTACTACTAATAAGCAAAGCTATAGCTGAGCAAGTTTGATCAGATCTCATTAATCACTGCAGGGGAATCTAGGTCCTTGTATCATTTGTTTGGACCTTGCGGTTTTTTTAATGTTGTTAAATC